TTGCGTGGAATCTTCCACTCCGTGACCGCCGAGATCTTACACGGGTCCACCTTCACTCCTTCAGCCGAGATGACGTGGCCGAGGAAGGTGACCTCGCGCAACCAAAACTCACACTTGGACAGCTTGGCATAATGTTTCTGCTCTCGTAGGATGCCGAGTACCGTGCGCAGGTGCTCCGCGTGCTCCTCACGCGTCTTGGAGTACACCAGGATATCATCGATGAAAACGACCACGAACTGATCAAGATACTTACGAAACACACTGTTCATCAGATCCATGAAGACAGCCGGTGCGTTGGTCAACCCAAAAGGCATCACCGTAAACTCGTAGTGACCATAACGCGTGCGGAACGCTGTCTTAGGTATATCCTCCTTCTTGATCGGGATCTGATGGTACCCTGATCGCAGATTAATCTTAGAGAAGATTGTGGCTCCTCTCAACTGATCGAACAAGTCATCAATGCGAGGAAGAGGATAACGATTCTTGATGGTGACTTTGTTCAGCTGACGGTAATCGATGCACAGTCTCATCGAACCGTCCTTCTTGCGGACGAACAGGACTGGTGCGCCCCAAGGGGATACACTGGGACGTATGAAACCTTTATCCAAGAGCTCCTGCAGTTGAGCTTTCACCTCCTTCATCTCTGCCGGGGCCATGCGATAAGGTGTGATGGAGATGGGTCCCGTACCTGGAACCAAGTCGATGGAGAACTCTACCTCCCTCGGGGGTGGTAGTCCGGGCAGCTCGTCTGGAAAAACGTCTGGAAACTCGCACACCGTAGGGATTTCCTCCCGTCCGAGTGCCTCTAGCTACGTGTCGCGGACGGTGCAAAGAAAGGCCTCGCATTTCTTGCGTATGAGGCGACGAGCTTGAATAAATGAGATAAATTCGGGAGCCTTCGGGAAAAGCTCGCCACGGATCAGAACGTCATTACCATCTTCGGCTTTCAGCCGTACCGTATGTGCGCCACAATCAACAACGGCTTGGTTGGCAGTAAGCCAATCCATGCCCAGGATGACATCGAATTCTCGATGTGGGAGCTCTATCAGATTTGCAGGGAAGCTCTTCCCTTGCACAACTAGCGGACAGTCAGGATAGATATATTTGAGACATAGACTGTGTCCCAACGGATTGGACACAATCACCGGATTTTCCAGGTTCTCTCTCGGAATATTAGACGATACAGGCATAGATGCACACAGATATGACAATGTCGAACCTGGGTCAATCAAAGCAGATATGGATGTATCGAATAAGGTGAACATACCCATAATCACATCATGAGCGGCTTGCTCAGTACGTCCATGCATCGCATAAGTACGGGCTGGAGCCTTCCCAGACTGAGCGCTCTGTGCCGGCCTTCTCGGTTGACTGGACGCCGCTACCGACTTCTGACTCGGTGCGGGCTGGGCTGCTGGAGCTGAGGTTGCAGCTGCGGGCGCTGTCGGGAACGCCTCACCAGGGTTCGTCGGGCAGTTCCTGCGGTAATGCCCGGCCTGTCCACACCCAAGGCATAGGCCCTGAGTGAACCAGCACTCACCGGAGTGCCTCCGGCCGCAGAGGTTGCAGATCGAGTTCCGATATCCGCTCTGACTCTCGCTCTTCCCACTCTTCTGAGTGGGTGCTGACGACGCGGCAGGTGCGGACCTAACCTTCTTGCTCGAGTGCGAGCTACTCGGTATGTGAGGAGGCCTCTTGCTGCTCGAGCCGGATCTGGATGGCGGTGGCGGTCGAGGATGCGTCGTCTGTGACTGCTCATACTCAGCCTTCCTGAGTAAGGCCGTCTGTAACTCCAACGCCTGCTTGTACAAGTCGTTGATGTCATTCCTCGGTGCGGAGACCAGTCCGGAGGACAAATCAGGGCGTAACCCCTCCCTGAAGCGCTTGCACCTCTTCTCCATTGTCGGCACCAAGTCCCGACCAAACTCGGCCAGCTCATCGAACTTCTGGCGATACTCTAGCAGCGTAAGTTCACCCTGCGTGAACTTCATGAACTCATCATGCTTCTCCTCCATGAAGTGCTCGGGCACATACTCCTCACGGAAGAGCTCGTCGAAGGTCGCCCACGGCACCGACTCCGGGATGTTCGCTCCTGCGCATTTCCACCAGTCGTAGGCGGCATCCTGAAGTAAGGCCATAGCTAGGTCGCCTCTCTGCTCTGCTGGAACTCGTAAGGTCCCGAGTACTCGACTCACACGCTCGAGCCAGTGCTTCGCGGCCATGGGTTCCGCGATCTGGTCACCACAGAACTCCTCGGCTCCGTTCTTCTTCAGCTTCTCAATCGTGACCACCACCACAGGAGGTGGCAGTGGCGGTGGCGGTACATACGCCCCCGCCATCTTCTGGAGGAACTGGAGCATGTTGGCCGCAACCTGCGGCTGCAAATAAGGAACCGCCTGTGGCACAGCATTCGGTTGTGGAACCTGCGGCTCTGGAACTTCGTGCTGCGGTGTGAAGCTAGACGCCTCGGTATGCACACTCACGTGCTCCTGTTCTCCTTGAGGACCAACTTGTCCATGCTCGGGAGCTTGACTCATCTCCTTTCTGGAAGGAGATTTCCTATCAGGTTAAGTAATAACAATAATAATAACTCAGATGATACGGTTACCTTTCCCGGTGGAGATACGAAGCGGGATTCGACAGTGGGTTCTGAAGAGTATGTTTTTTTTCTTCCAAAATTGGGTTTCAAAAGTTTTTTTATAGAACCGTAATGGTCTCTGATACCAAAATGTAACACCCTCTGTCCCGCGAACCCGGTTCACCGCGGTCAAACGTGCCGGAGAGGTTACATAGACGGTTTTAAGGCCGTCTACAAGGAAAACCCCTTGCGTGGCTTGTAACGGAAAACCCTTGACATGCTTTATTAAATGATGAGGATGGATTCACTTAAAAGAATTTTATAGCGGAAATAAATGTAAGTAAAACTGTTAGGTCATAAATAACGTAAATGCGACAAAAGGTGGGTTCATGCCCAAAACGTTTCCATAAATTAAATAAGTAATTAATCTGGCCCGCACTGTCGTTCATCCGCAGCTCCTATCACCCAATCATCCGGGTCAGGCTCCATGGTTCTCTTGCCTACCTGCGTATAGCAAAGGAAAAGCAACGCTATACGCTCAGCAAAAGCTGAGTGGTAATCTAACAGTAGAACGCATAGCACACTCACATTGATATAGACATGATTGTACCTGAACTAAGTACGAGATACCACATACAAGTTTAACGGGTTAAGGTTTACAATTATCAATGATGCAATACCAAACAACATGATGCATGAGTTAGACTGCGCAGGGACCCCCCTGCCCTTCGGTGATCATCCCCACGCGGTAGATGAGCTGAGGAACGCCTTAGTCATCCCAATAGAGACTAGAATGTGGGTGATAGCTAAGCCTAGCTACCATGTACGTACACCAGCCCTCATGATGAAAGCCCGTTGGATCCCGCAGGTTCCTGAACGGGCCCACGGAAGAGGCGCACTGGGCCTGACCCCTTGCCGTGGTATGCAACGTATGACATGGTCCTAAACATGCGTCTAGGATATACATGATGATATGAATGCATGGGTTGGAGAGTGAAATTATATTCAACACATGCAAATATATTCGGTTCCATATGTAAACAACTTGTTCAACATGGCGGACCTGGGCTCAGAACTGGCTGATAATCGATTAACCACATCTGATAATCGATTATCATGTTACGCAGTTCCTGTTCCCAAGTTCCGCAAGCCATGATAATCGATTGTCACCTCATGACAATCGATTGTCAAAGTATTTGTTCCCAAGTTCAGAGGGGCCTGATAATCGATTATAGGTATGTGATAATCGATTATCAAAAGAACCAGCCCAGACTTGAGATTCCGCAGGACCCAATAATCGATTATCAGCAAGGTGATAATCGATTATCACGTCTTGCTGGAAAACTGAGGAGTTCAGCACGACCTAATAATCTATTGTCAAATTCTGTAAATCGATTATTAAGGCACGCTGGTTCCTATTTTTGCCTGTTGGATTTTCATTAAGACGTTGAGGGTTTAAGAAATGAACGTTTATGTTTCCAGCTTACGTATTGATGAGTTTGCAACGTTTTGTAACGTTTATACTAACAAGTGTGAAATCGAAAGGCCTAATAACCGAAAAGTCATGACGATGTGGGTGCACGTAGGTTTAGCCGGTAATCCTATGACTATAACGATATGATTATACTACGAATTCTAAAGTTAGAGGGTAACGTACTCACCTCTAAACGCAGAGATTTACGATAACGGTAACGGATGAACGAACGGCTAACAAACGGACAACGAACGACGAACCTCCTGCGTGCTCTCCCGTCTCTTCTACTTCCCGTTTACTCACCGGAATCCACTTCGTGCCTGCCTATTTCCATGGCCGAACAGAGAAAAGGGAGAGGGGAGAGTGTTTAGAGCTTTGTTGGGGGTTACAAATGGGTAAGGGAAAATGAAGGGGAGAGTGGAGTTTTAAATTAAGAAATGAATGGGGGAGTTATGAAGAATTAAGAGGATTAAATAAGAATGATGGTGATGAGTTGTGGCGTGTGAGTTGGTGCTGGGAGTTACATCTCCTAATTTGTTCCATTGTGTAAAATCTTACCTGATCGGTACGCGGTACTTTCCCCGAACGGGTCCGAATTGAGATCCGTTTACGTTTCTGGAATCAGACAGACAAAACGAATATTATGACATAATCAAATAATTTTTCTAAGGATTTTATTTTCCAAACCCCGGTCCGAGTTAGTAATTAATTAATTAGATTAATCAATTCTAATAGACCGGGTCGCAGGGCGTTACATGTCACCTTTCTAATATTAGCTCCCATAGTAATAATAATAATGACTATAATAATAAAATAGTTATACTATTAATAATAAAAGCAATAGTAATAATAATAATAGTAATAATAATTATTATCATAATCATAATACTAATAGTAATAATAATAACACTAGTAATAGTAACAATAATATTAGTAATACTAATAACAATAATAGTAATTATAATAATAATAACAATAGTAATAATAATTAGTGAAATTTGCATTAAATAAGAGTAAAACACAAGTCATTTTCTAATGTAGGACTTAAACTTTTTTATTCCCTAAATAGTACTTAATAATGTTTAATGGGAGAAATATTGTCGAGTGATTATGGACATTTACTTGAATAATGACTAATGGTTAATGACCAATGGTCATACATTGAGAAATAAAAACATATGATCTTATATTGAAAAAGTCATGATGTTTTAGTCCTATTTAGGTAAATTACTCAAATAATTATAGTCATATTAATAATAGTAATAGTAATGATAATAGTAGTAATAATAATAATAATAGCAATAAAAATTATAATCATAATAGTAATAGTGATAGTAATAATAATAATAATAGTAATAATGATAATAATAATAATAATAATTCTGTTTAGATCTGATCTGATTTTAATAAGAAGAAGTAATAAGAAAAAAAATAAGTTGAATGCAACACAATCTAAGTGATAAATTAGGGAGTAAGACTTATGGAGCACAATTTATTTGTTCAATTTTTCTTTTTTCAAATGTAAGTTAGATAATAAAATACGGAGTACATTTTAATTTAAAATAAACAAAAGAGTTTGTGAATTACTCCGTATTTTGTTGCGTATTACTCTTTCCGTCGTCTCTATACACTCTCTCCTAAATTGCTACTTCCCTTTCTTCAATTTTCGCTTGTTCCTTAAATGTGGTTCCATTTTCTTCTTCGTTCCCTTATCTCATCCCTTTTTAATCTCGTCTCTCTTCTCCCTTATTCTCAGATTCGATCATTCGTAGAAATTTTCGGTTTGATTTCAGTTCTAGGGTTCTCCCCTATTTCCGTTTTAACGAGCTTTGTGTTGCTTTTGAATATAGGGTTTTCTTATATCTTCATTTTTTCGAACTTCTGTTTGTTTTGGATCTAGGGAGCCGTCTTCCAGATCTAAGGTTAGTTTTAATTGTTTAATCTACATATAATTCGCCTCTTTTCGTATTTTAATTTCTTTCCTTTTCAATTTTTTGCAAAATTCCATCTTCAGATTTTTCAGATCCTGAAAGTGTGTATGATGATAATCAAAATGAAAAGGAGATGTCAATGTTGGGAGTGCTGTTGTTCATGAAGTGCTGTTGTTCCAGCCCTGGGAGGGCTTCTGTCGTTGCTGCCGTCCATGGCAGCTTCCCTTCACTCTTTTCTTTTGTTTTCTTTTGTTTCCAGAATTGAGTGCTTTGAAATCGATGAAGTTTGTAGTATTAAAATTATGGATGTATTTGGCCGGGGGTGTCAAAGTTTGTCTGTATTTACTTGGTAAATACAAGAACTTTTACTATTACTTCATTTACATCTATCATTTTTCAGTCATTATTCAACAAAGAGGATATATTTTGATGCCTCTTTTCAAATCGAACGGGAAAATGTGCACATTTATTATTTTTCGTTTATTATTTACTCCCTCCGTTCTAAATTATAATACCTGTTTTCTTTGTTCGTCCGTCCCAATATGATATGCATGTTTCCCTATTTGGTATGATTATTTATGTGGACTTCCAAAATACCCTCTCATGTAATTACTCCTAGACCTGGCAATCGGGTCAATCGGTTCGGTTCCAGTTCAGGTCTTTTCGGTTCGGGTGTCATTCAGATATATGTTAAAATCGGTTCGGGTCGGTTCGGGTCAGTTCGGTTCCAGGTTCATTTCGGTTTGACTGGTTTTCGGTTTCGATTCGGTTTCGATTCGGGTTTATATCGGATCGGGTTTATATCGATTTGGGTTTGTATCGGTTCGAGTTTATATTGATTCGGGTTTGTATCGATTTAGGTTTACATTAGTTTAGATATATTATAAATATTTACTAATAAATCAATAATATCACATAATAAATTTAATCAATTTATGATATATACCGTAGTTATTTTATTATTTAATACGGACGTACATAAAAAATAACACTTACATATAATTAACTAATTGTTTACATTCTAAAGTTTTCCCTCCTAAAGATTTCGGCGCGATCTTTTTAGTTAACATTCTACTTCGTACTTCCTTTATTTCTAATTAACTATCCATTTCACTCTGTGTGTCAAATATTTGAATAATTTTATAGATAAATATATAATAAATTAAAATATACAGAGTAAAAATTATTACCAAATTGTGGGTATTAAAAAACACTTGAAATATATTATTTTTAATATTTTTGAAAAAACGATGTTGGTCAAACTTTAAGTTTGAAGGCGATAAAATACAAAAAATACTTTAACTTATGTTATAAAATACGGAGTAAAAGATTTATACATGAAAGTAGTTATACGGTTTGCACCCATAATTTAAATATGTGTTTTAGAAACACATTAACATATATAAAAGTATATAGGTAATTATTTTTCTCCAAGTTCATTTGATAAATGAAATATTAATGAATTTGATCAATTTCGGGTCTAATCGATTCCGGGTTTAACCGGGTTCGGGTTTTATCGGTTCGGGTTTTAATCGGTTCGGGTTAAATCGGATTCGGATCTGAATCAGGTCTGAATACATTCGGTTCGGTTTCGGTTCGGTTCGGGTCATTTCGGGTGTTCGGTTCTATTTCGGGTCTTCAGTTTTCGGGTCAAATCGGGTTCGGTTCAGGGTTATTCGTTTCGGG